TTTCTTCCTCTGGCTACCTCTTTATTCTCAACACCTGGCACCAGGACCTTATACCGTCTTCTTTTCTCGAAGACATTAATTTAAAATACTGAAAGTGTTCCATTATGTTGGACAATTAGATCAAGGGCAAACACAACAAGGGATTGGACTATGAGCACATGATAAAAGCGAGAGCACAAAGGAGAGGGTGAGGATGGTAAGACACCAAAAAACTAGCTAGCATTTGTTGCCCTTAATGCAGAGAAACTAAAGCAGATACCTTTAAAGCAACTGAGGCCAATAGGAAAAGGGAGACAGGACTAGAGAAAAGGTTAGATAAAAAGAATTAAACCTAGAAGGTAACACCCACGCACAGGAAATCAATGTGGTAGTCAATGCCCTGTATAGCTATCCTTATTTCTCAACCAGCAAAACCCCTTGTTCCTTCCTATTATTGCTTTACTCTCTCTACAACAAAATAAGAGAGATAAGGGCAAAATAGTTTCTGCTGGATTGAGGGGGGAGCGGAGGGGGTGGAGTGGTGGTAAGGATGGGGGGGGGCAGGGGGGAAAAAACCAAGCCTTGTATGCACATATGAATAATAAAAGAAAAATGAAAAAAAAAAAAACAAAAAAAAACTTGAAGTGGTTCTCAAATTGGCTGATTTAATATTTGTGCCATTAAAAATTATTTGGGCGGGCTCATTAAGGATATAATCTGGCGGGAAAACACAAATTCAAGCCAATCTGAACATTTGCTCCAGTTACCATTTTTGAAAAATCCTTTTCATGATCATTTTAATTAGACCCAAAGGCAAAATGAGTTTAGAGGGGAAACTCAAACCAGGGCAGGGGTTCCATTTCTCAGTCTTATGAGGCCAAGGTGGCTGAGTTGCTATTTGAGGCATAGGGCATAGGCTAAGCTTCCATGGTAACAATGCCATAGAAGGGCAACGAGGCTCAGTGCTCTGGGTCCTGACACTAGAGGGCCCCACTCACCGTCACAGTCAAAGAGGCGCAAAGACCAACGTCACACACGTGGTCTGAGAGTTCCCACTTTGGCCAGTCCCTTGGCTACCTGCTGCATGGTTACTGAAGGAAGAAAAAGAAAGATGTCAGATCAGACAGGCAAAGAAGACTTCCATTTTGCTTTTTCCTTCTGATATGGGTGATAAAATTGCTCAAAGTTTTCAACGTGTATATTTATTTAAGTCATACTTAAGGAAAATAAGGCAGGGCTCGGTGGAGTGGCTCAGAGTGGTAGAGTGCCCTGCCTTTAACAAGTATTGAGTTCAAATGCCAGTTACCTACATTAAATAAATAAGGCCTGTGAGAATGCGTGCACACCTATAATCTCAGCTGCTCAGGAGGTTGAGACAGGAAAATGGAAAGTTCAAAGCCAGCCTGGGCAAGTTATAGCCTATCTCAAAATAAAGTAAGATAAAAAAGGGGTAGGGATGCAGCTCAGTGGTAGAGCACTTGCCTATCATATGTAAGGCCCTGAGTTTCACCTAAGGGTCCATTGCTTTTTTTTTTGGAGTTAGGGTCTTGCTATGTAGTCCAGGCTGATCTTGAACTCACAATTCTTTGCCTCAGCCTACTGAGTGCTGGGATTACAGGAGTGTAATCAATAAGACTAACTGGTTTCATTCTTTTCAATTGCTGCTACACCTTAACAGGTACATGTAGTGAATTAAGAATGTCTGATATACCACAAATTCTAAAGTTGATACAGGAAAGAGTAGGAAATACTCTGGAGTTAGTAGGTATAGGTAAGAACTTTCTCAATGGAACCCCAGCAGCTCAGCAACTACAGCATATATAAATGGGACCTCATAAAACTAAAAAGCTTCTGCTCATCAAAAGAAATGGTCTCTAAACTGAAGAGAACACCCACAGAGTGGGAGAAAATATTTGCCAGCTACACATCAGACAAAGGACTGATAACCAGAATATATAGGGAACTTAAAAAACTAAATTCTCCCAAAACTAATGAACCAATAAAGAAATGGGCAAGTGAACTAAACAGAACTTTCTCAAAAGAAGAAATTCAAATGGCCAAAAAACACATGAAAAAATGCTCACCATCTCTAGCAATAAAGGAAATGCAAATTAAAACCACACTAAGATTCCACCTCACCCTGTTAGAATAGCCATCATTAGCAACACCACTAACAACAGGTGTTGGCGAGGATGCGGGGAAAAAGGAACCCTCTTACACTGTTGGTGGGAATGTAAACTAGTACAACCACTCTGGAAAAAATTGGAGGCTACTTAAAAATCTAAACATTGATCTACCATATGATCCAGCAATACCACTCTTGGGGATATACCCAAAAGACTGTGACACAGGTTACTCCAGAGGCACCTGCACACCCATGTTTATTGTGGCACTATTCACAATAGCCAAGTTATGGAAACAGCCAAGATGCCCCACTACTGACGAATGGATTAAGAAAATGTGGTATCTATACACAATGGAATTTTATGCAGCCATGAAGAAGAACGAAATGTTATCATTCGCTGGTAAATGGATGGAATTGGAGAACATCATTCTGAGTGAGGTTAGCCTGGCCCAAAAGACCAAAAATCGTATGTTCTCCCTCATATGTGGACATTAGATCAAGGGCAAACACAACAAGGGGATTGGACTTTGAGCACATGATAAAAGCGAGAGCACACAAGGGAGGGTGAGGATAGGTAAGACACCTAAAAAATAGCTAGCATTTGTTGCCCTTAACGCAGAGAAACTAAAGCAGATACCTTAAAGCAACTGAGGCCAATAGGAGGGGACCAGGAACTAGAGAAAAGGTTAGATCAAAAAGAATTAACCTAGAAGGTAACACACAGCACAGGAAATTAATGTGAGTCAACTCCCTGTATAGCTATCCTTATCTCAACCAGCAAAACCCTTGTTCCTTCCTATTATTGCTTATACTCTCTCTACAACAAAATTAGAGATAAGGGCAAAATAGTTTCTGCTGGGTATTGAGGGGGTGGGGGGGAGGGGAGGGGGCGGAGTGGGTGGTAAGGGAGGGGGTGGGGGCAGGGGGGAGAAATGACCCAAGCATTGTAGGCACATATGAATAATAAAACAATAAAAATTAAAAAAAATAAAGAATGTTTGATATTGAGTCAGGACTTAAGTACTGATAAAAAGTGGATTACCAAGACTGAGAGACCTGAGGAATTAGTGCTTAATGGGCACAAATTTTGTATTGGGGACAATAGAAATGTTTTGGAAATAGTGACAGTTGTGCAACACTGTGAATGTAATTAGTACCACTGACTTACACATTTAAAAATGGTGAAAATGGTTTACTTTGTCATACACATTTAACAACAAAACTTTTTAAAAACTTAAAATCCACATAATATTTAAAGATGGAATTCTAGCAGCCTAGAGCATACAGTAGCAACCTTTCTAATAAGTTGCTATATCAGACGAGTTCCTTAAAAAAATCAAAATGAAACAAACACCTGATGTTGCTATGTTCTCCTTGGCATTTCCCTCCTTCTGGAAAAAACATGATAGCAAAAAGTCAAGGAAACTACCAGGCAGCAAAAGGAAGAGGAGGTGGGGAATGAGGCTCATCTGCAATGTGAGCCAAGAAGGTTTCACGCTTCAGTTCCTGATTTACAGCTGAGGACTGCACGGTGCACTCTTTGCCCTCTAGTCCCCCTCCTTACTGGTTTTGCACCAGTCACTCTTGTCTTCCAACTGTGCCCCTTGGGGAAGCAGTGGCCTCTTTCTCACTAGATCAGTATGCAGCTTTTCTTTTTTAAATGTTTTGGCCTCAATAGAAAATCTCTTTTCTCTTACCATTTTTTCTTTCTCTGACATTTACTGTTAAATATTAGCAATCATGTGAGAATTGGGTTTTCATGAAAAACAAACCAGGAGGACTAGGCAATTTTTACTGTCTTCCCTCTCACTTATCCTCAAACCTGGTCTAGCTCTGCCTATAAATTATGTTATTGTGTATAGACACACTCAAGTAAAACCTGCAGGAAAGAAAAGGACTGATTTCTATCTTGAATCATGTAGCAATGACGTGCTCTATAATCATCAGATTAGGTTCATCCAGAAAAAAATGTGAACTTAAACTAGCATCTGTGTGCCTTCTTGGCTTATTTTTCATTTCTGTTACCAACTTGTTTTTCCATTTTTCACATCTGACCTCTCACTTCATGTCTGTCACCTCCATACATTCACCACAGTGCCCGCAAGGTCAGCAGACACAACTCCCGGAGCAACGTGGAGCTAGTATGGACATGCAGCAGAAAAACTGTTTCTGGAGTCTTAAGACGGGGTTCTAGGCCTGGCTCTTCAGAAAACTTGCTGTGTGACCCGGATGGAATTACTTGATCCCTCTCTTTCTTTTTTGGTGGTACTAGGGTTTGAAATAATGGCCTCAAGTTTGGTGCTCTACCACTTGAGCCACTCTGCCAGTCCTTTTTTGTGTTGAGTGTTTTTAATTTTTTTTTGGTGGTAATAGGGTTTGAACTCAGGACCCCATGCTTGTTAGGGAGGCACTCTATCACTTAAGCCACTCCACCAGCCCTTGTGTTGGGTATTTTTGAGATACGATCTCATTTAAAAAAATTTTTTTTTCCTGAGCTCACCTCCATCCTCCTGATCTCTGCCTCCAAGTAGCTAGGATTACAGGGGTGAATCACCACCACCTGGCTACTTGATCTCTTAAGATCCAATTTTCTCATATTCAAACACAGATGTCAAAAAATAACTGCTGAGGTAGCTTGCTAGCACAGAGAGGAGTTGATATTGGTGTTTTCTAGAACGTGAGGGCGATTGGTGATGGGGTGCAGAAATCCAGACATAGAGGAGGCTCTTGTATGGCAAGGGGTAGAGGAAAGGTATATTGGCCACAAAGCCTTTGGTGATGTTCAAAGCCTCTGGCTTGAGAGAGACTAGGTTTTTCAAGAGGACAGGAAGAGCCAGTTTCTCCTTCTTATAGCTTTGGTCATTATTCATACCATCCCTCCTTCCAGGATGTGAGTTACAGTGAAGGAGGAGTCAATATTCCTTGAAACTCAGACACAGGCAGAAGAGAGTGTGCTGGATTTTCATAAGACATGTGTTGGAGAATCTACAAGACTGTAGAGTCCTCAGGTTGAGAAATTTAGCCTTGCAGATCTAGATACTTGATTTGGCCCAGGAAGAACAGATTCCTGCTAGCTCAAATGCCCAGAGAAGGAAGCCAATTTACAAGAATAGGAACTGTTAAGAGACCTACAATGATGATGGCTGGTCATTAAACTTTTCAGTGGGAAAGTGTACTATGGAAACTGAGTTCACAGCAGGATATTAACTCAGTGAAAATGGATGAGAGCGGAGACCTGGATGCTCTCAACCTGTGGTTACCTACTGGTTTCCTTTGCTGCCACACAAGTATCCTGAGAAGGGGATGAGAACCCATTCCTTTTCTGCATGTTACATCAGTCTCATACTTTAACTGCTATAACTGAAGACTGTCATCCTGTTCTCATCTTTTTTTCTTTTTGGTGGTACTAGAGTTTGAATTTAGGGCCTCACACTTGTTAGGCATGTGCTCTACCACTTGAGCCACTCTGCCAGCTCTTTTTTGTGTTGGCTATTTTAGAGACAGGGTCTTGTGAACTATTTGCCTGGGCTGGCTCTGAGCTGTGATCCTGCTGATCTCTGCCTCCTGACAAGCTAGGATTACAGGCATGAGGCACTGGCGCCTGGCAATTATCATGTTTTCTTTTCCACTTCTCCTATTATCTAAGGACAGAGTGCCCATGGCTAATTGTCTTGATTTTCCAAGACTCATCCCTTTCCCCATAAAGATGGCACTCTTTGCTCCAATATTAAGTAGTAAATAATACTTGAGGATGCCAGTGAGAGTTCTTGACATTTTTTAGTGAGCTCATTAAATTGGTATTAAGTGGTGGTAGAAGAGGGACCTCTGCAAGCTGAAGCAAGAATGCCTAATTACACATGCCGTCTCCTTACAGAACAGTTACAGATCATATCCCATCTCACATGGAGAGGGTGCTGCTGGCCTGTGTGGAAAACTCAGGGCTGCGAAGTCATTGTGACTCAAACA